ATAAAGAGAATAAAGATAGATTCCCTGGAAAGTGTAATCCAACCTAATTTTAAAACAGGCATTTATTTTCATTTACTTCCTTAGGAAGCAGATAACTACCTAATTTCTTTTCTTCTTCTTAGACCAATGTTTAAGCGCTTCATCCTAGGCAGGGATCCATTTAAGATATTTTGTAGAATAATCTCAGAAAACTGCATTTGGTTTGCTGCATGTTACAGTGTAATATAATAATGTGGTCATTTTCCTCCAATTTAGGCTAGAACAATTCCACTAGTATGTATCAGGAAAGTGAGAAACCAGCTGTATGAGATCCATTGAGATCAATTTACGCATAACAGGAAAGAATGCTACCTAGATAGCAAGCTTGCAATAATATTTCAAACCCTAAATTCTTAAAAGATTTTGCAAATATGTCACAGAAATTAAGCTTTTTTAAAAAAAAATAATAATAATTCAAGGGTTTCGGGTTTTTTTCTCCAAACAAAATAAAAATACTGGAGCTGAACAACCCCAGTACAGCAGCACAACACTGGAAAGGGATTTCTCAGATCACTGGGTTCAGGCCCCAGGTTAATTTTTTAGCCAAGAACGTAAGGATTTGGAGTGTGAAATAATTTACTTTTCCCAAAGATTTAGCATCTTCTTTTATAATCAGTTATTTGAATACTGTAAGTCTGTACTGAGATTTGCAGCTTCAATACAGACCCCTTTAACTACAGCCATGGGAATCGTTGTAAATAGACAGATACGTAACCACAAAAAGGGTGGTCTAGGGAGGCAGGCAGGCATTGGGGCAGGAGTTCAGGAGAGCCGGGCTCAAAATTTGGCTGTCACATATTTCCTGTGAACCCCAGGGCAAATTCTAGAGACAGAAGTTATTAAAGGCCTTGGAAACATGACTTATGAAGAAAGGCTGAAAGAAAGCATGTTTACTCTGGATAAGAGAAGACTTGTGTGTGTGTGTGTGGGGCGGGGGGGTGTTGATAGCAGTCTTCAAATAGCTGAAGGGTGATTATAAAATAATATGCTGATAGACTTTTCCCTACAGCTGCAATGAACTAGGACTAGGAGCAATGGCCTCAAGCTGCAGCAGAGAAAATTTAGGTTGGAGATTAGGAGGTACTTTCGACTATGAGGGTGGCAAAGCACTGGAACAGGCTGCCTGGAGCACTTTTTGAACCTCCATCCCAGGACATTTTCAAGAGCAGGTTGGACATGAGCCTGCTCTGAGCAGGGAGCTAGACTAGATGTCCTCATAAGTTACCTTCCAGTCCTACCTCCCTATGACACTAAGTCATTAAGGACTGATCCTGAACAGTATTTGGGCATCTACCTCCTATTAATTTTAATGAAATCTAGATGTTAATGTACCTTTAAAGATTTGAGCCTTAGTCTCTTTATGCCCCAGCTCCTGATCTGTAAAATGGGGATAACAACACTACCTTATATTGTCTTGTAAACCACTTCATTAAGATTGTGAGACCCTAAAATACTTTGCTAATGATAATGGTAGGCGGCATCCAAACCCATACGTAGATAAAACGGGTGTGTGTGAACAACACGTTAAAGCAGGCTAAATGCTTCTGCACCGCTTTAATAGGGTCAGTGTTTGCATGCCTCGGCGGCATATTGCATATTAATTCCAGCTGCTGTAGGAAATTCGCCAGCATAATGCACCTTAAATGACTTGGGGCACAGCAAACTAAAACTCCTTCAAGGAGTTTTAGTTTGCTGCCCCTGCAGCCACAGAGTGAAGCACTGGGCTCCATGCAGCTCTACGGCTCTGCAGGAAGCCCTTTAGGAAGCCTGGCAGCAGCCTGGGAAAGCAGCTCCACCCAAGAAAAGCAACGAGCCTGATCTTTTTTTCCCACTCCCCTGGAGCCTGCCTGTGCTGGGGCCTGGTGCTTCCTTCCACATCTGCTGTGCCCCCCAGGACCGGCTGAGCTAGGTGCCTGGAGGCGGGTGCCGCCTGGGGGGGGGGTGCTCTGTTGCCATGGAGGGAAGCACCAGCCCCACTTGCAGCCCAGGGACCCGTCGGCAGCTCGCCTTCCCCTCCCCAATGGAGAGGCAGGTAAGTCAGCAGGGTGTGTGCACAACACAGGGGTTTAAAAACCCACCGCTTCAATTTAGGGCCCCCGTTTCAACTACACACAGCCCAAGTACATAGTCACACAAAGGTATGATCAAGGTGGAGCAGAGGTAGCAGACTGAAGCGTGGAGACCTGGCTTTCCCACCAGCCTACTCTATGACCTTGAACAAGTCACTCAGCCAATGTGCGCCGCCTTACTTAAAGCATCTGTAAAGGAAAATGTTTTATAGCCACCATCCCAAATAGTCTTGGTTTGCCTTTTTCCTTAACAACTATTATGAATGGGGTCGAAATAGACCTTTTAACTAATTTACTAATGGAATGGGCTTGGTAGATATTGTATTGTATGGCTATAATGTCTCAGTCAAATTCAGTGAAGAAAAGGGCAAGCCTATTAAAAAAAATAATTAAAAGAAGTTCTAACCAGAAAAGTCTGTCAATGGCTCATATTTGCAATGGGCAAGTGGAAACGGAGGTTGCCAGGTCAAGCGCTAATCAGATCTTTTCAAAGGGAGCCAATTTTATTCTCTTTTATGCCAGATAGACTCTATTGGATGAACAGTACGAAATAAAGCTGCCGGAAGGGTGATATTGTACTATTGGGAGACCATGGTTATCTTGGCAATTAAGGACTCCCCAGGAGGCTAATTAAACACATTGAGAGCCAAACATTTTACAAAATGTTTCAAGTGTGTCATAAAATGTACACACCTCAGACAGCTCGGCTCTGAAATGTTAACAGCCTGTTTGTTATTGTCATACTGAACGTGTCTTCCAAATAGGCTGTAGGGATGGAAAATGTTAGTATTTGATTAGCAACTGAAAGGACATATTCTATCATGTACTCTATCTCCATGCCTGTCCTTAACCTAAATTTACTCCCTTGCAGGATGTTCTTGATTATGTGGTCCAGTTTGGTTTCCAAAGTCTCAGCCACAGGGTTCCCACCTCCTTCCTCAGGAAACTATTCATTCATTCATCGTTGGGCTGGCTATTTCCCTGAGAGTCCACACTTTTCTGTTCCCAGCTTCATCCCATCACTCAAATCTAAACCTCTTGGATCTTTCTAAACACATCTTCTTCCTAAATGTTTGCAGCCTTGAAAACTCTGTTCAATCATATCTTTCATTTGGGGCAAAAGTGATGGGGGAAATGAGAAGAAAAAAATCTAGTCTAGATAGCTAAACCCTGGTTTTTATAAATAAGATAATTTTTTTTTTCTCGTATTACAGATGAATAGCACTTCTCCACAGCAAGGGAATCCCCTGGAAAATCTGAATCTCAGCTGTTTTACTGAGCGCTCCTGGGAAAACAGAGATGTAAAAACGACGTACAAACCTAAATTTCTTGTTAATACATGTACAGTACTTCAAAACCTATGTCAACTTCACTTTATTTGGCTCTCTTCCCAAGTAGCAAAAACTGAAAAATCTGCACTTATGTGAATAAAGAATCACTTAGCTAACTTTCCAGCTGAAAAGGTCCTAAAGGAGAAAAATACCTTTTAAGTTCTTTCTTTTATTTATGGTCTGGGCTGTTTGGGATTCTACAGTGGTATACAGAAAAATAATTAAATTAGTAGGTTATGTAATAAATTAACCCTTCTCTCCTGTGTTCTTTGCTAAGTCAAACACTCAGGATTTCCACCAAGCAATAACAACCAGAGGATGGAACATTTAAAACCCAGCTCACTGCATGCTTCTGCCAAACAGGGATTGTATTGAAAACCACATTCTGATCCTTTAATAATCTGTCAAAAGAAGCATCTTCTTTAACTCACATGGATACAAGAAGGATTTCCAAAGACAGTAGGGGGCCAACCTTTTTTTGCAGGCATGCCACAAATTAGCCTCACAACCTTGTGCCACTCTGATCCCTTTCTTTGCCCAATCTCCTGCTCTGCTTTCTGCTCCATACTCTGTGCTCCCTGCGCAAACTCCTGCTCTGCTTTCTGCCCTGTGCTCCCTGCCTGAGCTCGTGCTCTGCCTTCTGCTTCTTGCCCTATCTGCTGGTGTGTGACCGGTGCCTTCCCTGATATATTGTGCGCCATAAACAGAGGCTGCCCATGTCATTTATGGCATTCATACCACAGGTTGGCCACACTTCTAAGAAATACTGTAAGGCTGGCTCTTTATTGACTGGATATTGAGATGGCTCTCCTTTCACTTGGAACCAGGACTACTTTCACTAAAGGCCAAGGTATAACACAACCATAAACTGGCATGAGATCCAGATCAAGCTAGATATGTATACCCAAAAGGAAGAAACAAATATTTTTGCCTTGGGTTTTCAAGTGATAAAATAGGTATCATGCACAGTGGAAATGTCAAGATGCAGGCATAGCACTTTATGTTAGTTTTTTAAAGGAACACCAGTAACTTAAAAAGTATACTTTTCACTGCATTTTCTACCCTGCTGCTACAAGTAAGATTTCAGATGCTATATGTGAAAGAGATTAAATTAAAAAATGGACTTTTTTTTTTTATTTACTTCATGTGTTAATGACTTCAGGAACTGTCAGATTAGGAGGGATCCTGGTTTTGTCTAATAAAAAAAATCCCCAATTTTCAGATTTAAAAAAGTAACCCAAAAACCCCTTTTTCCTTGATTTAAATTAAATTACACACACACACACACACACACACACACACACATAGAGAGAGGTTACTTTTTAATTTGAAAATTTGGGTTGTTTTTTTTGTTTTGTTTTGTTTTTTTATCAAAGCAGTGTCCCAGATTTCCTTAAAAATAATGGTAAAAAAACAGTCACCCTAGTTAAAACCATCCAACATTAGTAGCAGAAGTAGTGAAGAGGTATAGTGCCTGAAACAGCTTTAAACTCATTATTTGAAATTGGCTAGATTTGAAGATAAATTTGTCTCTCTAACATATTTTTCTAACTAATCTTACCTCCAGAAAATGCTCTGCTTGCTGCTCCCGATCCAATTTTCTTGATGTGGTTGTAATCAGACCTGTGGAAAAAAGGTAAGATTTGATTGTCAATATCTGTTGGAGCAATGTAAGTCTCCCACTGGCCACAAAAGACAAGTTCACCTTCCTAATTCTCAAAATGGAAGAAAAAAATAAAGTTTTATCAAGCAGAAGTCTCAAGATGTCTGTCAAATATTCTCCTTCACAGCATTATCTCACTTTTTGACTGACAATGAATCTGTGAAGGAAAAAAACACCACTCTCTGAAAATTAATGAAAACTTACAATTGTATTTATGCAGTTAATGCATTACAATTACTTTAGTGAATGCAAAAACCTTACTAAAGATCCACTACTTGTCTTATGATTGTTTCAATGAATCATTTGCATATGACTGAAATCCTCCAGTAAAAACCTCATTAAAGATTTCAGAGTTCTTGAACAATTAATATGATGGGGTGCTGATTACTTCTTTGCCAATGAATAGCATTCTCTTCTCTTATTTAACTTTCAGATGGGTCTATGATCATTCTTGTTGCACTTGAAAAAGAAGGTTATTTCTGTAATAGCCACTTGTGTATATAATGATTTCCAAATGTAATCATTGTCATGTGTTAAAGATTTTGTATTGCTATTTCAATTTTGTTCTAGGTGCAAATTGTGCCTATAAAACAAAGTAATTTTTATATTAAAAAGATCAAGATATATTTTCTTTAAACAATGCTCTTTCATAAATGAATAACCTCATGCAAGTTTTTGACTAAGTATAAAACATGTAAGACCCTCTGAAGGACCTGCCAGGATTCACGAATGTTTACTGATACATAAATATCATTTTAACATTTATGTTTTCTCTGTAGCAATGAAAAGGTCAAATCTAAGTCCTGCCTCTGTCTTAAACAAAGTGTTTCTTTGAATAGCATGACACACTGTGTTCTGTCTTGGAGGTGGGATCTGGCTAGTATTAGGAGACCTTATCTTCTCAGTGGGATATGTTTTATTAGAGACTCCACCAATGTACCATATATAACTTTGCTAGCATTCCTTCTTCATGTGATCACTAGGAAAAACAGAAGGAATAACATCTCTTGGTTTAGCTATAAGATATATTTGTGTAATCAGAACAGCCAGTTATCTGAGCTTACTATTATGATAACCTTGAATTCTTCAACATAATATTAAGTCTATAATAACAACAACGATAGCACCAGCAAGAACAACAGTGATGAGGATGCACTTACACAGCACCTTTAATTCTAAGGGATGTATTTGGTAGCTGTGTTGGCCTGAAACAAAATGAAATGCAAAACTCTAAAACTCTTGGTTCAGAGATCATACTTTTTATTAGACTAACTAAGAAACTGCAAAAATAAAATCTTCTTTGCAAGCTTTTGGGTGCACACACCCTTCTTCAGGCTGAGGGAAAAAGGGATTTTAAAGCACTTTGAACACTGTCACTTTCTACTTGATGGAATCATTTAACTCACTACTGGAGTCCTGGCTCTGGTGCTAGATGCACGGATGTAAGCCCGCTGCACCCCCGTGAGCCCAGGGACACCAGCAGTGACCCCTGGACCCCCGATGAGCCCTGGCCTGCCAGCAGGTAAGCAGGAACCTGTGGAAGGAGGGACTTAGTCAGCTGGGAGCGGGCTAAGTGGGCCGAGGAGGGTCACCACCCCCCGAGCTCCTACTTGGCCCAGTCCCCCAGGGAGCTGAGCAATCAGAGCCTCGCAAACAGGCCATGCAAACAGGCATGCTCCTGGGCCCAGCGCGCGAGTTAGCATGCGAGTTCGTGCAGGAGGGCAAGTGGGAGGGCCCAAGGCCCTGCCTGTGAGCCCCCCAGAGTAAGCAGTCCCAGCTGTAGCCAGCCCAACAGCAGCATGACACAGATGGGCAGGTGCTGCACCCCAAGGGTCCTGGAGGGGTCTGCACACCCACCCCAGCACCTCAGAGGCTACCACCCAGACAGAGCCTATGGTTCCAGGCTCCATGCAGACAGAGCCCCAGGCTCTTGGCTATGGGGGCTGCCTGTTGCTTTTTCAGGATCTGGGGCCCAGGAGCATGGCCACCTCCCCTTGTGGGGTCTGCTCCCTACTGGGTTCTCCAGTGCGCCAGCTGGAAGAGCTCCAGGCTGCAGTCCACAGACTGCGCGCCATCATGGACTGTGAACAGGAGATAGACTCCTACTGCCAGGCCCTTCTCCCCGGGGAGGCGGAGGGTAGACCACGGTCTCCCTCTGGGACAAGGGAGGACTCAGGGATCTCCCTTACTGTCCAGCCAAGGGCTTGGACCAAGGTGGCAAGGGGCCCCAAGGCCCGCCACACCAAGGCCCATGCCCCGCTGGAGCTTTACAACAGGTACGAACCTCTTGCAGCCCCAGCAGAGCCTGCTGAGTTGCTAGCTCTTGCAGGCAACACAGATGACACTGTAGCTACCACCCCCGCTCTCCCTAAAACCAAACTCAAAGCGTTTGTCATGGGAGACTTCATGGGAGGGGGACTGGGGGGGTAATCTGCTGTCCCGACCCCTTAGCCTGGGAAG